CTCACCCCGTAACTATTCCTTGAATCCACTGCGCAGTGGTCCAGGCATCCGGGTGTTGAGATGTAGAGAAAAGGAGGGCAGGGCAGGGCAGCGTGGGCGGGCGCGCAGTCACAGTGTGCGTCACCTCAATGCCATTCTCTGGGTCCTCGGGGAGATGGGCGCGCGCTTGGTCACGCATCTGGGACTGCAGGAACCAGGGACGCAGATGGAGAGATGGGGACACAGGTCAGCGTGGGCGGGCGTGCTGGGCGCGCAGTCACCCTGGCTCACCCCATAGCCATCCCCTGCATCCTGGGTGAGATGGGCGTGCGCTTGGTCACACGTCTGGGGCTGCAGTGACCTGGGACGCAGATGGAGAGATGGGGGACATCGGTCAGTGTGGGCGGGCGCGCTGGGCACGCAGTTCCCCCAATCCTCTGCATCCAGCGCGCAATGGTCCAGGCACGCGGCTGCTCCAGGACGCGCCCGGGCGGGACCTGGATTCTTTCTGAGACTCAGGGGGCGGAGACTGAGAGGGCGGAGCAGACCACGAGGGGGCGGAGCAGCTCTCGAGGGGCGGAGACTGGGGAGGAGCCTAGACCGAGGGACGGAGATAGGGCGGGGCATGGGCTGAGGGGGCGGGGCAAAGACGGAACTAGAGGAGCAGAGCGCGAGGGGGCGGGGGACACACCGAGGGGGCGGAGCATAAACCGAGGAGGCGGAGACGGGACGTGGTATAGAATAAGGGGCGGGGCATAGCCCGAGACGTGGCGTCAATCGGGGGCGGGGCCTAGGGCGGGGCTGTGCTTAGGGGCGGGGCCGAGGCTCGGCCTTGGGGAATCCTAGGTGCGCAGGGGCGGGGCCACCTGGAGGTGGGGCGGGATCCACAGGTGAAGTCTCCAGGCCACTGCTAAGGTCAGGAAGTGGGCCCCCCGGCCTCGGCTACCGAGGAGGGCAGTGAGGAGCAGGTGGGCGGCCCGAGGTGAGTGCAGCCGGGCAGGTGGGGGCTGGCGGGAGGAAGGGACACTATCACTTTCCCTTGGGCAACAACGAGGTGGGGCGGGAAGGGGGCAGGTGCCCTGTGAGCGTAGGTGACCCTGGAAACGCATACAGCAGGGAGAGGACCGGCGGACAGGAGAGGACAGGTCCTGCAGGAGCCAGTTACCTGTTAAGAGATACGGGGAAAGGGGACAAAAGTGGACAGGCCCCACAGTGGTCAGTTACCTGTTAGAGAGATGGAGAAAGGGGACAAGAGTGGACAGGTCCCTCTGTGGTCAGTTGCCTGTTAGAGAGATGGGAGAGGGACAGGAATGGACAGGTCTCACAGTGGTCAGTTACCTGTTACAGAGATGGGGAAAGGGGACAGGAATGGACAGGCCCCGCAGTGGTCAGTTACGTGTTAGAAAGATCGGAGGAGGACAGCAGTGGACAGTTCTCACAGTGGTCAGTTACATTTTAGAGAGATGGGGGAGAGGACAGGAGCGGACAGGTCCTGCAGGAGCTAGTTACCTGTTAAGAGATAAGGGGGAAGGGGACAGGAGTGGACAGGTCTCACAGTGGTCACTTATCTGTAAGAGAGATGGGCGAGGGGATAGGAGTGGACAGGCCCCTCATGGGTCAGTTACCTGTAAGAGAGATGGGGAAGGGTCAGTAGTGGACAGGCCCCAGAGTGGTCAGTTACTAGTTATATCCATGATAGGATGGAGTAGGAATGGACAGGGTGTACCTGTGATTAGCTGTGATGGGGGGATAAGGACAAGAGTGGACAGGCCCTTCAGTGGTCAGGTGTCTGTGACAGAGGTCGGGATGTGGGAATGGACCTTGGGTGTTTGGTGACAGAAGGGAATGGTGGCTGGACAGAACCCAGGGCTCTGTGGCCCCGCAGCGGTCAGTTAGCTGTAAGAGAGATGGGGCAGGGGCAGGAGTGGACAGGCCATCCCCAGATGCGTCCACATGCGCCCATGTGCTGGGGATGGCTAACGCTCTGGACAGGGAGGGTGGACACGCTGGGGATGGCTTACGCCCTGGACAGGTAGGGTGTACAGCTCTGAGAGATGCTGACCAACTCTCTCATCCCCCACACTCCCGGTGGCCACCCTCCGCCCCAGCAAACAGGACTTTGTCTGGCTACAGTTCCTGAGTGACCCTCTGCGGCCCCCTGTCAGTCCACTTCTTGGAACTTACCAGACGCGGAGCCCATCCAGCCTTGCTGACCCCTCCGGCCTCCCTCCAACCCTCAGAGGCTCTGACCGTCCTCGGACCGCAGGGAGGCCAGCGTCCACCCGGATGGGCACTTCCGGCGGCCACACCCCTCCGGAGAGCAATGCCAACTGGATGTCACGGCTGTGCCCTCGCCTCTGGGATGTGCCCCTGCACCACCTGTCCATCCCAGGTGAGACCCACAGAAAGCACACCTGTGCACACACACACCTTTGGATGGAAAGAATTGGAGATGCGTGAACATGGTACAGGGACCCTCCCTGCCGCTGTCCTCTCCCTGCTAGCTGACCACAGACCTCATCACCCAAGAGGTCACCTTCGCAGGGGACATGGAGGGAGGGACTTGAAATCTGGGGACACTGTCCAGCCCCCCCAGACCAAGCAGTATAACCCCACTGCCCTCGAAGACCTCACAGGGAAGGGGTGTGTGTGGACGGGGGTCTCAGAGGAAGTGTCCCCTCGTGTCCATGTCCAGGTAGCCACGACACAATGACCTACTGTCTCAACAAGAAGCCCCCATCACTGGTGACCAGCCCAAGACCCTGCAGGTCCTCAGCAAGCTGCTGCCCTGCATCATTCGGCCCGTGGTCCTCAAGTGGTCAGTGACTCAGGTACGGACCGCCTGTGGTCAGTGGGGGGACCGCTCCCTAGAACCTGTGGTCACTCAGGGGGGGGGAGACTGCTTCGTATAACCTGTGGTCACTCGGGTGGGAGAGTGCTCTGTATAACTTGTGGTCACTCAGGTGGGGGACCGCTCCATATAACTTGTGGTCAGTGGGGGGGGGGGAGGAAGGACCGCTCTATATAACCTGTGGTCACTCAGGTGGGAGTGAGCTCTGTATAACCTGTGGTCACTCATGTGCGGGGACCGCTTTGTATAACCTGTGGTCAGTGGGGGGGGGGACCGCTCTGTATAACCTGTGGTCACTCATGTGGGAGACCTCTCTGCATAACTTGTGGTCCCTCTTTATAACCTGTGGTCACCAGGGTGGGAGAACCGCTCTGTATAACCTGTGGTCACTCTGTATAAACTGTGGGCACTCGGGTGGGGGGACCGCTCTGTATAACTTGTGGTCATTCATGGGGGGGCTGCTTTGTATAATCTGTGGTCAGTGGGGGGGACCACTCCATATAATCTGTGGTCACTCGGGTGGGCAGACCACTCTGTATAACCTGTGGTCACTCACATGGGGGGACCGCCTTGTATAACATGTGGTCGGGGGGACTGCTCCGTATAACCTCTGGTCACTCGGGTGGGAGGGATGGCTCTGTATAACCTGTGGTCACTCTGTATAACTTATGGTCACTCGGGTGGGAGACCTCTGTATAACCTGTGGTCACTCTGTACCACCTGAACCTCTTAAGAAAAGCAAACAGCTGATCCTTGGAGACCAAGGTGGTCAAGCCTCCCATCCTTTGGTCCTGTCACCGGACGAGGCGATTCTGTGGAGATGGACACCGTGTTGGGGAAGGTGGAGGGCCCGCGAGGGGGAGGGAGGCCCTCAGCTCGGGTGACCAACATAGTGACCGCAGCCCTGGACTGTCGTGTGTGTCACTGGTGGTGTGGATGGCACAGGGCCGAGTGAATTTTGGGGTTCCTGGTGGTCCCCTCAGTGAGGGCGGGAAGAAGCTGGGGGCCTTGCAGGGAAGCTTGCTGGGGGAGGGCAGCTGGACATCCAGCAACAGGGGCCGAGCTGGCTGGACTGGGCATGGGGCCTGCAGTGACCTGGTCAGTGTCCAGTAATAATGGCAGAACCTGAGGCCACACATATGGGGACAGCTGTCCCCCACATGTCCGGCCTCCCGCAGAGAGGCGTCTGAGGCCACGCGGGTGAGCGGACAACGCCCTGCCCAGAGACGGACAGACGGACACACGCTTTGTCCACAGGCACTGAACATCACGGAACAGCTAGACGCGGGCGTCCGGTACCTGGACCTGCGAATGGCCCACATGGAGGGCGGTCCTGAGAAAAATCTGCACTTTGTCCACATGGTCTACACCACCGCGCTGGTGGAGGTGAGGGGACAGAGTGGACAGAGGGACGGGGAGTGGACAGAGGGTCGGGGAAGGGCCAGAGGACATGCACATGGTGTCCACTGCATGCTGGTGGAGTGAGGGGACGGAGGAGTGGACAGAGGGATAGGGAGTGGACAGAGGATGTGGACATGGTGTCCACCCCGTGCTGGTGGAGGTGAAGGGACAGGGGAGTGGACAGAGGACATGCACATGGTGTCCACCCCATGCTGGTGGAGGTGAGGGGACAGAGGAGTGGACAGAGGGACATGGAGTGGACAGAGAACATGCACATGATGTATACCCCACAGTGGTGGAGGTGAGGGGACAGAGGAGGAGGAGTGGACAAAGGACAGGGAGTGGACAGAGGATGTGCACATGGTGTACATCCCATGCTGACGGAGGTGAGGGGACAGAGTGGACAGAGGGACAGGTAGTGGACAGAGGATGTGGACATGGTGGACACCACTGCGCTGGTGGTGAGCAGATAGAGTGAACAGAGGCATGGGGAGTGGACAGAGGATATGGACATGGTGTCCACCCCATTCTGGTGGAGGTGAGGGGACAGAGTGGACAGAGGGACATGGAGTGGACACAGGATGTGGACATGGTGGACACCACTGCACTGGTGGAGGTTAGGGGACAGAGGAGTGGACAGAGGGAGAGGGAGTGGACAGAGGATGTGGACACAACATATACATGCACCCATCTGCCCTGTGGGTGGCCTCAGACAGAGTCTACCATGCAGGTGTGTGGGTGCCCAGGTGACTGTGTCCAGCTGTCCTCGGGGGACGCTGGGAGGGGGTGCCTCCTGCCTGCAGAAGCCCTCACTGTCCCACCCCGCCCTAGGACATGCTGACTGAGATCTCCGAGTGGCTGGAGACCCACCCCCGCGAGGTGGTCATCCTGGCCTGCAGGAACTTTGAGGGCATGACGGACAACCTGCACGAGTACCTGGCCACCTGCATCAGGAACATCTTCGGGGACATGCTGTGTCCTCGCGGGGTAAGTGGCCCCCCCCACGAGTGACTGTGATGACCAGGGGTGGGGTACACTGTGGGGGTGACCCCATGAGAAGCAGCCACCCAACTGGCCTGGCCAGAGTCCCTCTCAGGACTGGGCGGCTGGACGCTGGTTTGCAGAAGCCCCAGGGCGAAGGAGGTCAGCTAGGAGGACAAAGGTCCAGTCACTCGTCTCCAGGCTGAGGGGACCTCGACTGGGAGGGGTCAGCGAGGAACTGCCCGCGAGGGTCTCCGGGCCCGTCGTTTGATAGGAGAATGGCCAGGCATTGCCTCTGGGTGGACAGGATCCCCCCATCCCCTAGACCAGAAGGTGGGGCGCACCCCATTTGCGCCCCAGGACTCTTGACTTGGGGCTGCAGCAGTCTGCAGTCCAGCGTCTCTGACGGTGACCTGAGGTGTCCAGTGGGGTTCGGGGGTGGGTGTAGACTGGACACCACAGTCCCTGGGGCCTGGGGGTTTCTCCACACGTGATTCATGCAGATGGGGGCCTGAGTGGCCAGCTGGAGAACTGTGGGGGGATGATAGTGGGGTGTGGGGACCCCCAAACTCACTGCTCCCACTGCCCCCCACTTCTCCTCTCCCACCTCCCTTCCCTTCCCTGCCCTCCCCTCCTGCCCCCCACTTCTTCTCCCCTACCTTCCCTGCCCTGTTCAGGGACTTCCCCCTCCCCTCCCCCCCTTTCACTTATTTTTCACACCTAATCTCACCCCGATTCGCCCCCTTGTCTCTTGCTCCCTCCCCCCAGGACGTGCCGACGCTGAGGCAGCTGTGAACCAGGTGCCAGCAGGTGGTCGTGTCCTATGAGGACGAGGGCTCCCTGAGGTGGCACCCGGAGCTGTGGCCGGCCATCCCCTACTGGTGGGGGGACAAGGTGAAGACGAAGGACCTCATCCAATACCTAGAGTCCATGAAGAGCGCCGCCGCCCGGGTAAGTGCACTGGGCCATGTGTGTATCGAGGTGGGCCAGGAGTGTGACAAGGTGTGCTGTGTGTGGACACAGGTGGGCCAGGTGTGTGGCCAGGTGGGCCAGGTGTGTGTAGCCATATGAGTGCACCTAGGTGGGCCAGGTGTGAGACCAGGTGGGCCATGTGTGTGTGTACCCATGTGGGCCAGGAGTGCCACCAGGTGGACCAGGTGTGTGAACAGGTGGGCCAGGTAAGTGCACCCAGGTGGACCAGTCCTGTGAACTTAGGTGTATGAACCTAGGTAAGGCAGATGTGTGCCTTTGTGGGCTAAGTGTGCGCCCATGGGTGTCATGTGTATGCGTCCAGGTGGACCAGGCATGTGTACTTAGGTGTGTGGGCCCAAGTGGGCCAAGTGTGTGCACCAAGGTGAGCTCAGGTGTGTGTACCCAGACGGGCCAGGTCTGTGCTGTGCACTCAGGTATGTATGCCCAGGTGGACCAGGTGTGCACACCTAGGTGTGATGAGCCTAGGAGGGCTAGGTGTGCATGTTCATGTGAGCCAGGTGTGTGCTGTGCACCCAGGTAGGCAAGGTGCATGCATAAAGATGGGCCGTGTGCTGTGCACTCAGGTGTGTGCACCCAGGTGGTTGAGGTGCACATGCAAGTCCCGCCCACATTCCCTAGGTTCGCTGAGGTGTGTTGCTCATGTCTGTACCACGTACCGTGTAGACAGAGTCTAGGTGTAAGGCCTCCAGGGCTCCCTGGACATCCACTTCTCTGTGAGATGGACCCACCCAGAAACTTGTGTCACGGATGTCAGATAGAGATAGATTAGATAGATAGATAGATAGACAGACAGACAGATAGATAGATATAGACGATAGATATAATAGACGATAGATATAATAGATG